TATATTTGTCAGATGCTTGGTGGTGGCAGCAATAAAGTCCAAGGGCAAAAGGTAAAATAGTTTGTACCTTGGGGAAGTTTTAACCTAAGCTGGTAAAAATAAGCTTAGGGGGGTTTTCATGCAGGTCCCCACATCTGTACCCTAGAGTTCAGAGTGGGGAAGGAACCTTGACAGCCTGAGAACATCAGACCCCAGATCGTCAAAGAGTTGTCGAGCTTTAGGATCATGCTAGACTCATTGCTACTTCTAGACATGCAGACCCCCATAGTGCCAATGACCTAGCCACAGCCATCCCTGCTTTCATCTCCTCCAGATTAGCTTACTGCAGCTCACTCTACTTGGGGCTGAATGCAACCAAAGCAGCTCAAGTTGATAAAGCATGTCATATTGTGTTCACATTATGAGACACATCATACCTGTGCATCCTAAACTCCCCTGCCTCCAATTCATTCAATTGTGGAATTAAAAATCCTGGTCCCTATCTCCAAAGCCCTTAACAGACTGGGATCTAGCTGCCTCATCCTTCATAACCTTGCAATATAGCTATTCTCTTCGCAGACGACACAGCAGGAGACACCCTGGGTAAGTCTACCAGCAACTGAAGGCAGAGCATTCGAGGCAGCAGGACCCAGGCTTTTGGACTCCTTCTCAAAAGAGATCAGTTTAAGTCTATGCTCAGATCAAAGTTCTTTTTCAGTAGACTTTTCCCCAGGAACAATGCCCATAAATAAAAACTAATTAAAAAAAAGGCTTGTACATATAAATGCACGCATCCCTGTAACACCGGAGGAATGGATATTTTTTTCTCCTTCAAACTTAGTTCTGCACTTAGATATCAAGGTGACAGGCATCTTATAAATATAGATAATTCTCCTTCTCCTCCAGGTTCTGCTGTTCCTCTGAAAAATCTCACTGAAGGCCTCTCCTCTGCTAAGGATTCCCAGTGCCTGACTGGCTGCTCATGGCCTCAATACAAAGTGACATTGCATGCATCATTATGGAATGGAAAATCGTTTAGGGCACCAGGTTGAGCAGAAATAGCCTGTTCTGAAACCCTATGGAGTGCTGCTTCACAGAGCACCAAATGTCTTCCCCCTCCCCTCAGTTACTGTCCATCCAGAATGCCCATTGTCCTTCCCCAAGTCTCCTGGAAGAAATAAACACTATTCTCCTCCCTTAAGTAAATTAAAAAAAATAAACAAAACCCAGCTAAACAACAAACCCGAAATAAAACAGAAATCTGTGGTAGAGGAAAGACATGTTCTCAGTGAAGGGACATCTGCCATGGGCAGGAGAGAGCCACCAGGCAGCAACTGCAGATAAATAACTGAGAAGAAAGAGGCGGCAGCTCTTTCAGGAGACATAAAATTGATTTGTAGAGCTTTGCTACCATATTCCTGACAAAAAGGAGGAAGGGTTGAAATTTTCAGTCAGTACTGGTGACCAAGATTGCAGAGTATACACATTTATATACCAAGTTATTTTTGGTTCTCTCCCTTCTCCCCACCAGGTACTTCCGGACAATCTGTTCATGCAGTCTGCAGAGAGATACAGCAGGACTCAGCAATTACCAGCTCAGTTCCATTTGCACACAGATTGGTGCTACTGCAATGCACATAATTAATATTACAATAAACCCCAGCCATCAACCAGGACCATATGCTAGGCACTGTATGAACTCTCACCAAAAAAAGACAATCCCTGCCCCAAAGTGCTTAAGCAGAATATTTATACTATCATCATGACTTGTAAAAAAATTAAAATTTTGTAAAACATTGATAGAAACAGGTGTGTCACCTGAGATTATCCACAGGTGAACAAATGAGATGGATCCTAGGTGAACTTCTCTTTCCCACCATGAAACAGAAACAGGTGGATTGAAGAAACATACACACAGAGAGAGAGAGAGAGACAGACAGACAGACAGACAGACACACACACACCCCCAAATGGATGCCAAAGTGGATCTGTTTGAATATTTACATTTCATCCAGAGGACCTTTCTAACAGATTACTTTTCCCTTTCTTCCATATTGTGTGCATTTCACATGCAAAAATTGTCAGTTTCATTGCACAGAATGTTCTATTACAGAAAATCTATTTCAGTATACATTTTTACATGTAATTTCTGAAACATTGTGGCAACTTAGTAACCGCTAAGATTCCATTCAAGGAAGCCATATGAAGCCTTCAGGGTGCTGGCATGCAAACAGTTTCAGTTGTGATGGCTTGACACTCAACAAATCAAACAGTGCTTTTTCCCCCCTATATGCTGGTTAATAAGAGGCAAAAATATCCAGTTACTGGGTTCCATAAAAATACAATGAAAATATTAGAAATATTTTTTCCTGCTTAGAGTGGGGAAAGTGACTGGATACAAATTACAGTTACATAAATGAACAGAATGTTGTGCCCTACAGTCTGGCTGTAGAATTAACAAATGTGAGCTTCAAACAAAAAAGTGAGTTCATTTACCTGTGCAGGCGCTATATACACTATTACTAAATTATTTCAAGGGAGCTGAACTCTGAACAATCCTAAAACTACAAATATTGATCATTCAACATCCTTAATAGACCGCCTTCAGTCCATGTTAAGAGATGTTCCATCACTGCCAATTCTTAACAGGATCGAGGCATCCCCTGAAGAGGTTTGTATCCTTTAACTAAATACACAAGTAAAATTGTCACAGAACAAAATGGACTTTAGTGTCATAATGAAAGTAGTTTGCAAGAACTCTGCATCAAGACCCTGGATCATATCTTGGACCACTGGATAGGTAAGGAAGATCTTGTCACATTCTGAAGAATTTTCCTCTGGATTTTGCAAAATTTAGGAACAATCCACTGTATTTTTAAAAGTAAGGCTCTGTTCCAAAGTACATTGAATTCAAAAGAAAAACTCCCATTGAGTTCGACAGACTTTGGATTGGGTCCTTAATTATTTATGCTGCTGAGCTGTTTTACATATTAGCTTTATTTACCTATCCTTTTTTTAAATTCTTCCACCTAATGACCTCTTTCACTCCCCTACCTAATTCATTACAGTTCTACTCCCCCCACTGTGAGAGGGTGAACACACAAAACATTTAACAGACAATATGAGTATTTGTATCTAACATTTGGAGCCTCATTCTTGTGAAACTTCCTGTGAAATGTCTTGCAAATGAATCCAACCACATTGGATAAAACAAAACAGCTGCTTATTTCTGTTAAAAGCAAGCAAGCAACAGTGAAATAATTAATATGTTGGCATATGAGATGCCACTATTAAGTTTCAGTGTTAACAACAATTGAAATGTGGCAGTTCATGACTCAGGACTATTGTTTGTGGTTAATTACAGACTCTAGATGACAGGACTACATTGGTCCATATCTTTCTATCCAGAAGAGCGAGAAAACAAAATATTTGTGAACATAAGCCTGAGTTCTGCAAAAAATATTGGAAAGACCTGAAGTCTACAGACATTCCCTAAATCTGCACTAAAGCCTGGAATTTCTGCAATGCATTTTAAAAGTGACATTAGTCAAATCCAAATAAAATTCGTGTTGAGTTACAACAAGATCACAGAGATCTCTTTACTGTTATTCTTATTGTAGGCCCTGAGCTAGTGGCTGGAACAACAGTAATTCCAAAGGAAAATAGCTGTATTTCACAAAACACTTTCATATGATAGCCTGGTTTGGATGACAGTATAAATCACAAGATGACAAAATTATTTAAAACAGAAATGAAAAAAAGAAAAAAAAAAAGGCCAGTCACACAAGTCTCCCCCCTGCATTTTCAGAAAATACGCACCTGACAGACAGGTTGTAGGAAAATGGAACGCACATTATCTATAGCTTGCAGGGGTGTACTACTGGAGAAGGAGTAATGTAAAATGTTTTTTTATGAAAAGACAACATTTAATCCACTTATCTCTTCTCTATCAATAATCAAAATTGCAAAATTTAAATAACTCTATTCCAACCATTTAGTATGTTCATCTACAGTACTAAAAAGTCTTTTTTTGCCAAGAAACAGGTTGAATATATGTTTTTCTTTTTCAATATAAACATGTATGCATCCTCCATATGCTGGCAGCCACCATACAAGTTTAGTCTTGAAAAAAATCTGCAGTGTCACATCTTTCCATTATTTCAGCAAATAGTTTTAGTCAAGACTGAAATCTTGTTCTTGCGTGTTGGAGTTAAAGTTCAACCCGATGTCTAAAGACATCCTTTAACAGGCAACTGACTTGTCTTGTGCTGTCAGAGAAATCTACAGATGTCTGATGCAACACTGGAACTTTAAAACGCAGGAGTCCATGACCTCTATTTAAGATTAATCACTTTTATGCAGATTTCACAAAAATGTTATTTGTATACGTGGAAAGTTGAATAAACTGGTAGCCAAGCTTGCTATTTCAGCTCATTTTTAACCACACCTCACTCCCTCCAACTTCCTAAATATCATTTTCACCCCCATTCTCTTAAAAACATACGAGAAAGTAAAGTAACCAATCTTATTAAGAACAAAAGGAATATTACAAGTCACTCCTGAAGTTCTGCAGCAACTGGACAAAGTTTGAAGTGTTGGATAAATTTGACGAAAACTATTTTTCATTCTCTTTTTCAGGGTTTTTGTATCTGATTATGACCTACAAGTTAAAATATACAGGTATCATTGTAACAATATTGCTGTTATTATGGTCATTTAATATATATAAACTTAGTTATGTCATGTAACTCAGCTCACTTTAAGCACAGATTTTATTGGCTGCTCATTGCTAAGCAATTACATTTAGCTATAAAAACGTTTAGCCCTGCAATACAAACGAAGCATATACTTTATCACTGTGCAGACATATGCAGTTCACTCTCATAGTTCAACCTACATTTACATTTGTTACTATGCAAAACCCAGACGGATCCATTCATCCTTCCAACAGTGACTATTTAAAATGTATACCCCACTGAAAAGTGTACACATTAAACTCTTCAATATAATACTTTACTCACCAATGCTACTGAGAGAACTGCTACTTTCGGAATCAGATGGCATTATGGACAGCACACTGTAAGTGGACCCTTGAATAAAAAAAAAACCAAAAAGTTAGTTTTCTTGCTTCGCTCCCCACCCCACAGCTTCCCTTCAATCTCTCAAGAAAGCATCTGTTCCAGTCTCTTAACAGGTCAAAACCGGTCAAAGAGGTACAGAACAGAGGCATCTCTGCTGAGATCTGGGAGACAGTTTGTTATTTACCGAGGCACTTCTACAGCACATCACAAGAATGGTATCACAGTAATCGGAATACCTGTGGTCACTGGCTTCCTTTTTCATTAACCATTCTTATTCAGCTGCATTACCGCTAATCAAACAATTACTTCTCCCAGAACTTAAGAGACAGTAATGTCCAGCATAGTTCAAGACTTCCAGAAGGAGGCCTACACTACAGGCGCTTTCCTGTTTTTGAGACACACCAGATCTTCTATCTGGTCATGGCACCTAATTAGGATATGCTGACCCTCAAGAAGCCATTCCCAAGCTTAAAGGACTAATTTCACTGCCTGGGCTTCAATAAATCCAGGCTGCTTCCATTTGCTTCTTTCAAGTAGCCACTCTTACAAGAGGAGAGCCTCAACACTATTTTGCTAATATTGGAAGATACTGAAGGCTGGAATCTTTTATTATTATGAAGAAGAAAGTAAGCTAAAATTTATTTACAAGAACAGAAAGACAGGTCTTAATTGAAGAGCTGGCTATCAAACAGAAATCCATCTCCTCCCCACTCACCCCCCCCAAAAAAATCCACCACAGAAAAAAGAGTGAGGGAAGGGGGTTATCAACTATAAGATAAGTGGCACAACAAGGGAATTTCCACTGGGATATGAAGTCCATCCACCAGGAACCTGCCCTTAGGCTGAACGTGGCTGTGAAAGCCTCTTCTCCTCTTTTATTCTCCTAATTCTTTCCTCTCATGCTTTAAGGTTTGTTTCTTCCAGGTTCCTTGGGATTAACAGCTGAAACACTGGAGTCTATGTTTCCAGTACAGGAAGCAAAAAAAGGACTAGGAAATAAGAGAAAGATGGAAGTCTCTCTTGCTTTCCATCCTTTCAGATATGTCTCATCCTACTCCCCACTCCTCAAAAAAGACCAATTGGTTATCTGAAGGAGGAAAGAGAAGACATATGACAAACAACAGAAGCTTCCTCTGTCACGTCTCTGCGCCCCCACCCCCACCTCACAGTACAAAATAAAATTAGTTATCAAAAACGGAGGCCCAGATCTTCAGCTGGAATAAATTGGTGTAGCTTCATGGATTTCAATGGAGCTGTTCCAATTTACACTAGCTGAGGATCTGGCCCTGAATTTGATAAAACGGGAGCAAATGCTACAAAGATGAGAGCAATGTCAGAAAAGTATGGTGTTGCCACAATCAATCCTTTGAAGCAGACTCTCTAGCTTCACTAACAAAAAAAATACACACAAAAGGAATTGGGTTATTTTACCTGACAACTTTTAGCAAAGAAAGTTTCAAAATGCACTGGTTATTGAATAATTCTAATTGATTATATAAGTTGTATATTATAAAACACATGACAAGTATGTCACTTTGATACAACGGTTTCAGAGGACACTACATTAGTTACCTTTCCCCCCACACACATGCACACTTCCGAAGTTTTTGATTTGGTAAAACGAGTTTTCTTTGTTACTGCTCATTAAAAGTAAGATACTCTGAACACCCACTAGAATCAATCAATCAGCGTCTCTCAGCATTAACTTCTTCCACACCTCCATAATGACCCTTAGCGTGTCTTGTAGCTAAGACCTGGGGGGTTTGAACAAAAATTGGCCAACGCCTTATTAAATTAAGTGGGACCTTTTACAACCGACAATGTATACTAGGGTGAGATCAAACTAACATAGTACTTGAGCAGAATCTGAATGCATGTCTTTAAAAGTGAAAGCTAATCAATCACCTTACAAAATCACCTACCCTCATCACCTGTTTCCTTTTAGGAGTACAAGAAAAAAACCTTTTGTCACAGGCATTGAAAATGGCTTCTGGCCCTTTCCAAGAGCTCCTGATAAATTATAATCCAGGAGTGCTCCAACTCCTAAAATTCAGATTTTTCTCTAGAAACCGTTTCATTGTGGATTTGTAGATAGCTAAATTTACTACTCTGCAAGGTGTCACAGTGACACAAGGGACTGACTGATAAGTGGAGAGAAAAGATGTTCTTGTGATTAAGGCTGCTGACTTGGACTCACAAGACCAGGGTTCTGTTCCCACCTCTAACAATGGCAATCTTTTATTTTCTGTAGCTCAATTTCCCAATCTATAAATATTTCCCCGGGAAAGTTAATAGGATAAGTTAATAGATGATCATGAGGCACTCAGATATTACAATCATGAGCACTGCAGAGAAGTTGAAAGGTAGAATAAAAATTAGCACAGACTTTTCTCCTTGTCACCCCAGCAAGACATCCTATCAACACTCACACTTAATACTCAGCCTGAAATTTGTAATAGACACCGAAGACACCATGATTGTCCAGAATGTCACTTGTCTTGAGCTTAAAAAAAAAAAAAAAAAGCTGACCCCTTTAGGTTTTGGCTGAGATTCAAACACTCCATCTTTCCTAGCTAAGGATGGCTGACAGATTCGCATACAATGGATATGCTGTGGGAACATACCTTCAAGCAGCAGTCAAAAAATGGATTATAGGTATAGCATTTATCACCACTTAGATAGTGCTAAAAGCATGTTAGGCAATTTATGACACGTGATGAGACAGGCTCCTTCCTTAACCAGTTGATAATGTAAGGCCCCAAGCCTGCAAATGCACCATGGTACTGCACGAGCATGAGATTCTGCTTATGCACATGTAGTACCAGGGCTTAAGTAAAGAAAAGAAACCATACATGGGAAAAATGTTTGTACGCTGGTATCCTATCAAGGTGATGTTTGGTACATATCTTGCAGGTCCAAGATCATCATCAATCTCCCCATCCCCACATGCCCAGTTGGCCCAACCAATATTTTTCCAGCAATAGAAATTTTGTTCTGCATCCCATCCATCTGCTGCAATCTCTCTCTCTCGCGCTCTCTCTCTCTCTCAAAGTGCAATCTTTAAAAGATGGGCATTTTTCAAGAGGTCCCCCTTGGTAGCTGTGACAGTGCCCCCCATAAGGCTTTATGGAGATATGCTTATGAACGTATATATGACATAACTAGAATATGTTTTATGCTACATATGCCATGTGACATATCTCTGTAGAGGTTATGATCTACCAAATCTATTAATCCTATTCGTATGCATGTGTCATTTTTGTATTCGTTGTTCTGAATATTGGCTGTGTACTGGCTTGATTTTCAAGTAACCTTTGTAAAGCATTTGGTCAGCTTCTTGAGAAAGGAATGTGCAAATCAAGAAGCACTTAAAGTACAATGGATCTTGGAATGCTCCAATCCACATAAGAAGTCGACTTGAGGACGTTCAAGGTAGCATGTGACCCATGGCTGCTACCTGGTAAGAAACTGAGAGTCGTGTATGGACATGTGACTTGCCCAGGTGATTCCACAACTCCATCTTGGAGCTGGACTTTGCATAGGAGAGAGGACGGGTCTCCACCCACAAGAGCAAGTCTATGGAGACCCCCAACATTTTGTCTTCAGCTAGCTAAGGAGATGGCCTCTCCACCCCCAGGGATACCAGTAAGAAACTGGAACAAAAGGCAGTAACTACAGGGGGCGAGAGTGATTGCTGGACCCAGACTAGAAGGAGATTAGTCTAAAGGAAAATTACTGGAACTGGTGAGGTTTTGTCTGTATTCAGTTTTATTAGACATAGGCTTGCAGGTTTTATTTTATTTTGCTTGGTAATTCATTTTGTTCTGTCTGTTACTACTTGGAACTACTTAAATCCTACTTTCTGTATTTAATAAAATCACTTTTTACTTATTAACCCAAAGTATGTATGAACACTTTGGGGGGGGGGGGGGGCGGCAAACAGCTGTGCATATTTCTCTATCACTGTTATAGAGGGCGAACAATTTATGAGTTTACCCTGTATAAGCTTTATACAGGGTAAAACGGATTTATTTAGGGTTTGGACCCCATTGGGAGTTGGGCATCTGAGTGTCAAGGATAGGAACACTTCTGTAAGCTACTTTTAATTGAGCCTACAGCTGTTAGGGGACGTGGTTCAGACCTGGGTCTGGGTTTACAGCAGGCTAGTGGGTCTGGCTCAAACCAAGCAGGGTGCTGGAGTCCTAAGTTGGCAGGGCAGGAAAGCAGGAGCAGAAGTAGTCTTGGCACATCAGGTGGCAGCTCCCCAGGGGGTTTCTGGGATCCAACCCGTCACAGTAGGTTTTATAGGAATGTACAACTAACACAGAAGTAAAGCTTTTACTTTTGATATTGTAAGAAGAATGTGACCAAAAAGAGTGAAAAATTTGGTCTGCTCTTGTTGACCTGATTTTAAACATTTTCAATAACACAGTACAGGTTGTCTCTCAAAATCCACAGTAGATTCTTCAAGAATGGATAAAATCTGATTTTGTTAGATCACTGTTTTTATTCATCTTCAAAAGGGTTGAATTTGCTCAAAACAAGCAAGCCCAGTATTTAAAAAGGAGGCAAACTCTCTGTAATAGAATTAGAATTTCATTTTGTGAAATACACCAAGATGGTCTAGATAAGAAAAGCATAACTTCTTCCTAGAGACAGTGGGAAGGTGCAGTATAGCTGCTGGTGAAAATTATAGGGGCAAAAATCTGACAGACGGCATACTGCCACCTGAACACCTACATCCAAGAGGAAGGGATAAGTATCTATCCATTCATAGCTCTCATCACACACACACACACACCCTTGCTTTTCCGGTTCTTCATGACAATACCTACGGAAAAGTTAGGCCTAGTCTACACTACAAACTTAGGTTGACATAAGTCACATTAAGTCTATCTAATAATGTTTGTGCACAACCGAGTCCCTTCCGCCGACCTAAGTGGCCTGTGAAGTGGACTTCTATACTCCACCTCCGCAAGCGGCGTAGTGCTTGATTTCACATCCACGGG